GTACAGGGCAGACACATTCTCAAACTGCCACGGCCAAGGGCTCAGGCCCCTGCTCACCAGCTCCTCTGGCCTCCACCTTACTAAGGAAGGAACTTTTCCTTCTCTAAACACAGAGTCCTTTTCCATACACTGTTTCTTACAAAAGCAAAACAAAAAAGGATCAGAGGAAGCAAAGTTGAGTAACTTTTTTATGTCTGACTTGAGTTGAACAAAAATCTACTGGGCTGTACTTGTGGGTTTTTGTTTTTTCTTCTAGACAGAGCAGTCAGGCAAGATATACTTGTTTGTGAAGAGCCACTGAGGGTTAGTTACTCTGAGTAAGCCGGCCCCTCCTCAGGAGAAGCAAATCAATTACTCGCCACTAATTCATTTAACAAATATTTATTGATGCCTGTTAGGTATGACAAACTATGGTGATATTTAGACAATACTCCATTCTAGAAAGAACACCAAGTAACTTAAATTATCCCAAGCAACTGCCTCCAAACAAGCCATCTGCCCACAGATCGGTTTGGTAAAGCCTAGTTCTCATCTTTTGCAAATTAACATATTTAAGAACCATAGGTATGTAGACATATGTAAAATTTAGCCATTGGGAAAAACTGGGTGAAAGGTACCCAGGACCTCTCTAAAGTATCTTTCCAATTTCCCATGGCTCTGTGATTGTTTCAAAATATGAAGTTCAAAACAAAACAAAACATGAGCACAAACTTCCCTCGATCAGACAGCGAGGAGTTCATCTCTTTAGATGTCACCCGTGAGAGGCTCCGGAAAAAGCCGAAAGCCTGTAAGATCTCAGCCCACGGTGAAGTTAGGTTCTGTTAACAGCCTGGGAACTCTGAACAGTTCAGTTACAAGAGAGCCTGGGAGTCAGTGTTTGGTTGTAGGCACAGGACTAGGCATTAGGCGGCAGGGAAAGGCTCGGGAGGGAGGCTTTGGGGACCATGGAAGTGGACAGCCAGGACGATCTTTTACTGGCAACGTCAGGGTTCCCAGCACATACTTCCCTCTGAGGAGCTCAGGTCAAAAAGGACAGTGACCCTTACCTTACACCACGCATAAAAAATTAACTCCAAATGAATCAAAGACCTAAATGTACAAATGACAATTATAAAACTCTTAGAAGAAAACATAGGGGGAAAGCCTCATGACATTGGACTTGGCACTGATTTCTTGGATATGATACCAACAGCACAGGCAACAAAAGAAAAAATAGGCAAACTGGACTACATCAAAATTTAAAATTTCTGTGCATTACAGGACACAATCAACAGAGTGAAAAGGCAACCCACGGAATGGGAGAAAATATTTGCAAATCAAATATCTTGTAAGGGGTTAATATCCAGACTATATAAAGAACTCCTGCAACTTAACAATAACAACAAAAAAAATACTGATCAAAAAATGGGCAAAGGATTTGAACAGACATTTATCTAAAGAAGATATTCAAATGGCCAATAAACTCATAAAAAGATTCTCAACACTACTAATCATTAGGGAAATACAAATCAAACTACAATGAGTTACCCCTTTATATCCAATAGGATGGCTATTACTAAAACAAAAA